ATTTTTTACAGGAAGGAAAGGAGAAGGATAGAGAGCAAGAAACATCGATGAGAGAGAAACATCGACCAGCTGCCTCCTGCACACATCCTACTGGGGATGTGCCCGCAACCAATGTACATGCGTTTGACCGGAATCGAACCTGGGACCTTTCAATTCACAGGCTGATGCTCTATCCACTGAGCCAAACTGGTTTTGGCAGCTCACTGCTGTTTTAAGGTTGTTTGAATCCTTTCTCTTTTCCAGTCATGAAGATACAAATCTGTGGCAGGGTCACTTGGTCATCCTTTCTGATATTTCTCCCTAACAAAACAGAAAACAGGGCATTCCTTTAATCACTCTTATTTCTACCCTTAACCAGCAGCAATCTGAGACATTTATCTTATGCTTTTTTTATCGCCCTTGACCTCTTATTTTCTTCCCCCCAAATAGTAGCAGAGGTTGAATCTTCTTTAGCTTTTCCTGTCTATCTAAAAAGATGTCTCAGCACCACCTGTCCCCTTTTCAGGCACCTGCAAACTTGAACCACAGCACAGTTAGTTTTTGCGTATGCCCCTGTGAATTCTCCATGTCAGAATTCTAGTGTATGAGCTGGAGAACTAGTCTTTTTGGGTAATACCCCCGCTGGTAGGACCCAGATGCTTGGGTAATTCATCATTGTCTCCAGTTCCTCCACCACCACACCTCCAAGAATGCATAACTCAACTCTTGGTTTCAGCTTTGTCACCTAAAATTGGCTCCCTACTAAGTGTCCTTATTTCCTTTTCATTGTACCTCCCTTTATATAGACTTGCACTGGCCCCTGATTTAATACTCTAACACCTGACTCCATACTCTCATGTGAAATCCCATTTTTGCTCTTCTTTCCCCTTCAACAAATGGTCCACATTCTTCACTTCTTTATTTTAAAAGTTTAGTTAGACCACTCTAATTAGGCTTTCAATACTTAAAGATCTGTTTTACCTTTCATCTTAGACGACTTCCATTAGTTCAGTCTCACCTCAGGCACCCCTTCTTCTAGGAGCTATTCCCTTTTTACTACAATTAAAGTAGTCTGCCCATTATATTACCTTGTCTATTATCTTCATAGAATCTATCACAATGTAATAGTATACATGATTTGTATAATTTATCTATTATATTTATTTTATTTGTATATTATTATATTTATTATCATTTCCAGAGTATGTTACAATTTGATATATTTTCTATTTCTTTATTGTGTTTTCTCCAAATATGTGAAATTCATGAGTGGAACAATATTGAACTCTACCTGCACATAGTTGTCACTAAATACATATTTTGCCAAGGGAAGACCCACTTCTGCCTAGGACTCTCAATTACTATGTCCTTCTCTGAATATTTATATAACATAAATAATGACACTTGTTACATTGGAATCATTAGTATGTTCCTTTGGTCTTAGTATTTTGTACTATCGCCTCCTCTTGTGAGGCAAGGGGGAAATAGCCAATGAGCTCTGCTACTCTAGTTAATATCTCTGACATTCCCTCCAGCCCAGTAGACTTCACCAGAATTTCTTAAAGTCATTCCAGAACATTTCATTCTCTCCTAGTCTTTATTTGCAATACTATTAAATTTACTGAACAAAATAACCCTTCCTGAAAACCAGATTTCTCATATCTTTACAGAAAAATTAATTTACAAGGTCTAATTCTATTTGACCAGGCATCTCTCATATAACCATGTAACATGTTGGAAATTTTATTCACATTATCAATATTTTGAAAATATATTTCTTCATAAAGAAACTGCAAAGTCCAAATTTAAATCTGACTTTATCTAATTTACAATGGGTTATAAGTAAGTCTATTTGCCTTATTGTGAATAATACTCACCTTGATCGAAGGAGGTGAAGACTTTGTTGCTATTAAGTAAGAAAAACTCTATTTTAGAAGTCATTTGAGTATAATGAATGCTCTGTCAGTATGAAATATGGTATGAAATAGAATTGCAAAAGTAAGATGCAGAAGGTAGTAATTACTTTAAGTACCCAGGAGGAGTGTACACAACCTTGAACACCAAAGGAATTTCAAAGAAAGGTTTTTAAGGATATTGAATTCATATTGCAATGGAGATAGAGAGGACTGAGCCAGAGAGCTATCTCAGTGCAAGGTATTTTCTCTCAGGGAATTGTGACCATCACTCCCTCTCCTTTCAGGAGACCTGCTTAGCTGTTCTGAGAAAATTAGTATCTCTGCAATTACAGATTTTTTTTAGAATCACAATAGCACTTGGTGAAAAAATGCTCTATATTACTTATAAAGTCTCATAATGCCAAGGCACCAAGATATTTTAGAATATGCTCAATACTTGAAAATGGATCAACATTTTATATCTTAGGCAAAGGTTGTAAAAGTTTCAAATTTAGGATTTTAGGATTGTTTCCTTAATCTGTTAGAGGTGTACGTTGTTATTCTTTGCTGGTAATATCACTGCACTGTACCAGCAACTACAACCTTTTGTGATCTTGAAAAACCATCTGTGAGATTTAAGAAATGAAGAACCTTTTAAAGAAAACATTTTGCAATGTACATGCTCTAAAGTATTTTGTGCTGAAGAAGGTATATAAAGTAATAATGCTAAATTTATCTTTAAGCTGAAGTAATAAAATATCTTTCATTAAATAACAAAATATGTCATGTTTTCTAGACAACCTTTTCTCTTGGCCTCTTGTTATCCAATTGACTCTTTATAATTGTTAGAGGCATTTGCTATGTTTTTCCGGATCTCTTGGTTTTCAATCAAAATTGAAAAAAAAAAAAAACCTATTGCTGAAAGATCCTTTTCTTTGTAATTTGTGTTTGTTTTATTTCAGAGACCTAAAGCATTTTTTATTTCTCTTGAAGTTCACAATAACGCCACTTTATGTCTAAATATAAATTGGAGAAATAGAGGATGGTAGGAAGGAAGTGTACTTTACTATGGGATTAGAGGCAATGCGTGATTGACGTAACTCCAATTTGATGTGTCATTTTTCAGAGAACAACTCCAGAAGGGAAGGTCCCCCTGCTAGTCAGGTACATGCAGGTTTCTACTCTCCTGTACCTATGTTCCTTGTTCTTCATTTTCATTTTGATGATCCCTAGAGTGACTCATTTCCTCTTCATATAATCGATTGTCTATTCTGTAATCACAGTCACTGCCAGAACTATGAAATTTTCAATAAAAATCTTCAGGCAAAGAAAATCCCTTGGGCAGGTTCTTACCTACTATACCACTTATGTTACATAGCAGTTCATAGGTTACTCATCTCCCCTCCAAATTTGATCTAATTATAATAGAACTAAACCTGTTTGGTTTAGTTTCAAGGAAACATTAAATGTTAACTTGAATAGTAGGAATGATAATAAAAAAGTCCATCCTTCATCACCCAAAATTATTATTAGCACCTCTAATTGGTTTTAAATTATGACTTAATGTATATAACTATTTTTATTATGTAATTTAATTATAAAATGTCGAAAACAACATTTAATATTACATTAATACAATTTGGAGTTACAGTTCTAAAATTTTTAAAAATGGGAAAAGCCAAATAAGAACTTCTGTTCTTTGCATTTTTCAATATAGCATTCAAAATTTTATCTAAATAGAATTGGGTAAATAAAAATCAAAACATAATAATTTTATTGTATATATTTTATGTTACTGGTCAGGGCATTTTAATTATTTATTGTTTTATTTGATAAAATGTATTTGTTATTATTTTGTTGGTATATTATTTAGTTGACATGCACACAAAAAAGATATGAGAAAAACCTAAAGAGAAAAGAAAGCAAAATTTATCCTTCTATAAAAAAATCATTTTATTCAAACTAAAGTTTTTATCCTTTAGGTAATAAATATGTTATTCCGAAATATATATATATATATATATATATATATATATATATATATATATATATATACTTTTTTCATATTTTTTGGTTGTATCAAACAAGTGTATTTTCTTTGTGAAAGAAATAATTTATGTCCAAAGTTGATATATTATCCCTTTTCCTAAACTGATTTTCGCTAATATCATTATATTTATTGAAGCAGGAGTTATCACCCTTTTTTGACCTCATGGCACACATAAATTGATTACTAAAATGCTGCAGCACACCAAAAAAACTAGTTTTTGTGAATCAGACAAAAATAATTGACATAATTTTTATTCATTCACACTAGTTGGCTATTGTTGTGTTGGATGTTCTTTTTTTATTTGACCATCTCAGAGAATAGAGGTCAGTGCCCTGACTAAATAGTCATGTATTGCATGTTTTAAAAATTATTTTAGTACCATTTGAAAACTTCTGCATTTTAGAATAATATAGCATATTGTTTCATTCTTTCAGAATTCAGTTTCATTCTGATAGCTCATTGAAATACAACTAAAATAAATAACCCCCAAAGTTGTAAAGAAAAGTTGTAAAGGAATAATTATACTGTATAATTCCAAATAAAAGTATATTTTATTTTCATAAGTTCTAGCAAAAGCACTGTTGGTTTATTAAATCACATACACCGAGCTACTTGTGTACTGCATTTTTAGATAAAGGCATACCAATACCTTGTCATACCATGGTCTTTGTCTACCCTAAATAACATTTTTATTTTTATTTTATTCCAAGGAAATCTTGAATGTTCATAGAGTTGTTGGATTTTAGACAACTGGAAGTAGAATTGAGTATCTTTGGAGACTCCTGAGAGAAAAGGCTACTGTTAGAGTTAGACAAAGCTGACTGAAAATACTACATATCTTAGAGATATAGAATAATTAAATAGCTCTAAAGGGCTGTATTGTTGATAATGAGGTGAGGGGATTTTTAATATCTAAACCACATTTAATTAAATGAGTTAACCTAGTTTGATTACTTAGCAATAATGATGTGAGTGCTCACTACCTATTATTTTTAGGATTTTTTGTGTCTTTTGATTAAGAAAACAAAACAGTGGCTTTGATTTTGAATGCTTTTCTTTTCCTTTTTGCTCTCCAGATGACACGAGAACAATACATACTAGCAACACAGCAGAACAACCTGCCAAAGGTTGAGAATGCACAACTGTACCCTGTGGGCATTTATGGATGGCGAAAGAGGTGCTTATACTTCTTTGTCCTTCTGCTGTTGGTTACCATGATAGTTAACTTAGCCATGACAATTTGGATATTGAAAGTTATGAATTTCACTGTGGTAAGTACCACCATGATTTTATTTTACATCTATTGCTTTTGGTTCAAAGGCCATCCAACTGCTATTTTTTAATTGAAAGTTATTCATTTTCATCTTTACATGTATTTATCTTGAAATTAAATCCCAAAGGCTGCCATATGTAGTCTTAAGACTACATTCAATATGTATGTTCATTAAATACATCTGACGTTACTACCTACCTTTTAAGTGTGGGAAATTTATGTAACCAGATAGTACAGCACATAGGTTCAATAGAAATTTAGAAAACGTTTAACCAATACACAGGAACTATTGCTTGCTCTACCTGGGCATCTATGAAATGAGTCTGGTATTTCACGATAATATTAGATGATATTTCACAATATACATCAGAAATCACAAGTATCTTTGAAATTCTTCATATAGAGTATTTGCTTCTCTGTATATACTGCATGTTCAAACCTAATCTTTGGAATTTTGCTGGGCTGCATGAACCAATGCCTATAATTGTTATCAGATGGTAACTTCATTTTTTAGTATAGGTATGATAAATAAAAGACAAACTAGAAATTAAATCATTTTATGAAGATTAATTACCTAAAATAAAATAATTTTATAACTCATTGATGAATTTAGAATATGTACAATAGACCTATTAGCATGACTTTCTCTGCATCAGCAAAGTAAAGGTTAGTTCAATTTATATTTTCTGGCTAGATTCTTAAAGTTTTCTATTCTGCCCTTCAACCTTTTGGCTTTTATTTAGAGACTGAAGATACCTTCACAGCCAGGCAGGGATCTTTCACTTGCTGACCAGACTGCTATTTTTTAGAACTCTGCATCCTCAGGGCAAAAGGAAAGCTGGTGATTTCACTGATCTTCCTATATTGGATATCATTTTTTTTAAAATGAAAGAAAAGAAAACACACACACACACACACACACACACACACAAAAAAAAAAAAAAAAAAAAAAAAAAGCTCTGCTGTGTATTGATTTAGTCAGAGTAATTTCGTTCTAACTTCACTAACAGCTAACTATAAGTCAAAACAGAATCTCAAAGGGCAAAATGAGCCAGCATCGGTCCATAGTGCAGGGCACTGCGGTTGGATGCAGAAGGCGCCGGCGAGGGCAGGTGGCCCACCCTTCCAGAGAGAAAATGGCCACCTGTGCAAATCATGATATTACAGCATATGCTCATAGAGGAAAAGAAGCTGAGCAAGGGCTCCATTTTATTCAAATCAGTGCAAATTTGGAAGGTTTTTCATGAAAAAAATGAAATGGAAGAGAAAAACAGGATGGGCAGGAATCAGTATGTTCTAGGATTTGAGAAATTACCAGTGTCCTAGACATGGGTACATGTTCAGGGTCATTGATCCAGGCTTGAGCCTGTGGATGGATGTGAGGGTTACTAGGCTAGACATTGCTTTCTAAGACTCCGGTGATACATCTGAGCCATTCCTTCATCTCAAGAGTTGGCTCAGTTAGTCCTGTCCTCTCCTCTTCCCCTATACAGGCTTGGAGATATTTTGGCACAGATGTTACTAATTCTACTCCTAGACCTTCTGTTCCTCTTAGCTCTGGGCCTATCTTCTCTTACTAGCTGTCTGGGTTTCATTAATGAATCATTTATCACATTAGTAGGGGCAGTGTGTATATCTCTGAAGATTCTTCTATGCTGTGGTAACCATCAGTCAAACTTGCAATGGCTGACAACAGTTTTCTCAAACTCATTATCTTAATCTCCACTCCCCCCCCCACCCAAAAAAAAAGTAATCAATAAAAATAAGAGTAGTTTTTTCTCCAGGTTTTCAAATTTTGAGCCTTTGATTTCCTCTACCAAGAAGCATCTTTCAAAACCTCACGAAAGATATGATCAGCTCTCACTTCAGGGGCTTTGATCCCACTATAGGGCCCAGGCCACAGGATTTTTTAGAGTCAAGCCATGTAAGCTTCTCAAGCATATTTAAATTAATTAGGAAAATAGACTTAAATGCATAATTACATGGCTGCATACATCAGGCTCCCAGTGTCTTGCCCCATGCTGAGGCCAAGGCTAGATAAGCCATTCAAGGAAAATAATTGAAACAATCACCTTTGTCCTCAGGATCCATGCAGGCCTCAGGGTGTCTGTCGCATATGGAGTGATCTAATTTGAACCTCAGCTGGCAGAATAGTAAATGTCATCATATTCCTGGGGATAATGAAAAGGAGTCTGTTACCATAGGAGGCTTGATATTTGTATATATGATTTTTAATTTGGGGCATATCTCACTTATTTTGAAATTAAAATTTTACTGTTCTTTACCCAAAATAGAAGACTATCCTTCCTTCAGCCATCTAGACTAATTGTGTGCAGCTAAAATAAAAGAAAAGATAAACTTGTAACTACTCCATCAAATTTATCTTTGTAAGGTAACATATTCCCTGTCTCACTGCAGTAATTCATAATTCACAGAAATTCCAAATTACTTAAGTAGTTGCAGAATTTAGTGGTCCTAAATACTACATATCAGATTAAGTTGTATATACTTGAAAAGTGTGAAATAATGTGTAATCTTCTTATATTAGAGCAGTAAAAAAAAATCAATTTTATCTTTTCCTTGGTACATTAGGATTGTATCTGTCTCTAGAGTGAATAGCAAAACCACTTGCCACAATATAGTAAGAAGTAGTAAATGATGTGTAAGTTGTCTGGAGATTATTATTGATCTGCACAAAATGTGTATCTTTCTTATTTTAACTGTTTTGCCATCCAACGGATAAAAAAAATGTATGTGGCTGTGAACAGCTTTTATTTGAAAAAACTAGGCATGTTATTATTATCAAAATATTGTGTTTTCACAAAGGTAGCTGCCAACCTGTTTTACAATACCTCATGAAGTCTATCCTTATGGCCAGTATTATACATGATCTGTATGGTTGATGTGATTTTTTTTTCTGTTTTTCATTTTGAGGGAAATAAAAACACTCTGCTACTGAGATATTCAACAGCACAGAATGAAGAAAACGGAAATGAGTTTATACTATAGAGTGAAAGACATGGATACAAACACCAGACCAGTGTTGCTCAGTGGTTGAGCATTGATCTGTGAACCAGAGCTCATGATTTGATTACTGGTCAGGGCACATACCCAGGTTGAAGGCTCAATATCTGGAGGGCAGCATGCAAGTGGCAATCGATCCATGATTCACTCTCATTATTGATGTTTCTATCTTTCTCTTCCTCTCCCTTTCTCTCTGAAATCAGTAAAAAAAAAAAAAAAGAAAATAAATAATAATAATAATAATAATAATAATAATAATAATAATAAATTAAAGTATGGGTTCTGGCACCTGACCATTGGGTCCACATCCAGCTTGTATAGTTTACTAGCTATGTTACCTGGGCAAGTTATTTTAACTGTGGCTGTTTGCCATTCTGTAGAATGGGTGCAATGTTATTATTTACTTCATTAGATTGTTGTAGAAATCAAAATTAAAGTAGTAAAAATTCCTTAGATGTGTCAGGCATGTCCAAACAGCTATGTAAGAATTATTACTATTACTCTTACTCATTTTACTTCACAATTATTCCAGACATCATGTGATTTAACTTGAATTTTCTATTGAGCATAAATCATCCAAGACACAAAGGAGATGTATTAAGCAAAAGATTATAAATAGACTAGTGTTTGTAAACATGTTCATTCTAATGACATGCCTAAAGGTTAAAAGATTGAGTGTGTTGCCAAAACCAGTTTGGCTCAGAGGATAGAGCATCAGCCTGCTGACTGAAAGGTCCCAGGTTCGATTTTGGTTAAGGGCACGTACATTGTTTGCGGGCACATTCCCAGTGGGAAATGTGCAGGAAGCAGCAGATAGATGTTTCTCTCTCATCAATATTTCTAGCTTTCTATCTTTCTCCCTTTCTCTCTGTAAAAGGAAATATATATATATATATATATATATATATATATATATATATATATATATATTTTTTTTTTTTTTTTTTTTAAGAATGAAATATCATGGCTGGCATGTACACATAAGGAACTATCTGGCATTGAAATTGGGACTCAAAAGAACTATTGGCCCAGAAAGGAACTCACTACAGACTGATTCATTTGCCTCTTAGCATAACCATTATGGCTTGTTGCCGTTTAGGTTCTTACAAGGGTATTTCTTGGATCACATGATCTCACACATCTAGAGGAAATAATGAACAACACAACAGACTCAGAGAAAGAGAAACAGTGATCAGACTCTCAGACCTCAGGGAAAGTAAGGGTGGATGGGGTTAAGGGGAAGAGATCAACCAAAGGACTTGTGTGCATACATATTATCTCTCATAGATGTTTCTAGCTCTCTATCCCTCTCCCTTCCTCTCAGTAAAAAAATCAATAAAAAATATATATATTTTTTAAAAAGTATGAGTGTTAGAAATAGGTAGCCAGAGGGCATTCTGGCTCAGTGATGACCAGTAGCAATATGACCTCCTGTGAGTTACTTAAGCTTTCTAACTCCACTCCTTTCTTCATCTGTAAGATGGTCAAAGGCACTGATCCACAGAGATATGAGAAGTATTAAGTACCTGAACATTTATAAAATGTGTAAAATTGAGCCACAGAGTAAGCCCTCAATTGGTGTCAGTTATGTGTATTGACATATATGATTTTTGTCTATTATTAGCTGTTAATAATTAAAGTTATTTTATATGGTGTATTTTATCACAGGCAAAGTATTATTCCATTGGCATAATAAAAGGATCACTAAGATTTCTTTTGAAATTCTAATTTAATGCTGAGGTATAACACAGTTCACCTAAAAACTTCTAAGAGGAACAGTTCAGCTGTCAAATCTTTGTTATTTTGATGATCTAAGCTATTTATTTTCAGAACATGCACTACCTGAACGTGAGCCTCCTGGCCTGTCTGAATGAGAAGCTCATTAGCCAGAAAGTGCTAATTAATGTCTTCTTAAACCATTCAAAAAATTTAGTATTTTAAAAAGGAATGATATAATGGGATTTCCATTCTTGA